TATATATTCAGATTCTATATGCAATATTTTCTCGTGAATTAAGAAAATATATTTTGAGTATACCCTGAGTATATCCCAAATATATTCATCCACGCATATGAATTTAATAAAGAAAAGTAAATATTATTTAAATATGATATAAATGATACAATAATAATATAAATAAATAAGTGGGATATACATGCATATCATGAGAAACATGAGTAGTTATGTATGTAACACATAAAACTCATATTCATAACCCTCTCTAGAGTTCTTAACGATGTGATTTCAAGCCGAGCTGGGGTCAACTTAAAATCAGCTCGAAAAAAATTTGATCCAAAATTTAGCCCGTAACTCGGTTTATTTATTTCGATTTGGACTTGATCCGAGCCAAAATTCAATTCATAACCCTAACAACACTAAGGTTGTTAACGGTCTAATTTCAAGTCAAACTAAGTTCAGCTCAAAAATATTTGATCCAAAATTTTTACTTGTAGCTCAGCTCGTTATTTTCTCTTCCTTTCTTCTTGTAAGCTCTCCCTGAAGTTTTCCCGAATCTTTGTAGCTTAAGTTTGTGTGTTCTAAGCCCTTAGGCTCCTGATTAGAAGAAGATTTCTTACTACATTTGCTCTAACAGTCCTTGAGATGAAAGGAAAATTACAGTGAGCATTTTTATGATATCTGTTTTCTGGGATTTGAAGGATATTTGGTAAATGCTAAGAAAAAATATCATTTTGTTGTTGTATTAGTTAGGAGTTCTTCAAAGATACCACCAAATTCTTACGAATGTACAAGTCTAACGATTAAATTTAATTTTTACATTTATAATAGTCAAATCGCACGTATCATACAAAAAATATCACTAATTTAACTTAAGGAAAAGTTAAATTCACATTTTTATGCACAGGTAAAGTGGCATATATATGTAAAAATTGAAGTTTAAGCATTAGATATGTAAAAACATAGGAATTAAATGATATGCATGAATGATAGAATGAATCATTCAATGATCTATGTGTTTAGAATTAGCTGAAAAACAATGTTATCAGCTTTGTAATTTAAATGCGTATGCTTTAATTAGTTGATAGAGCTTAATTTAGTTTTAGTTATCCTTATAATGTACTGATATCATTTAAAAAGAGAAAGTGAATCTCCAGCTTTTGCCTGTTTGATTGGTGATTGAATCTTCAATCCCATTAATCTATTCTTCGAATTCTCTATTAGTATATTTTATGCTAATTTTTAAGTTATTTATCCTTTTTTTTAATACTAATAGGTGCTATTTTATAAATGAGCTCTCAAGTCAATCATTTGGATTGAAGCATCTCCTAGGAGATTGTCAAGTAACATGTCGATGCAAATTATCAAGCGTTATTTTTATAGGTTATAAAGAAAATAGTTATAGAAGAAAATTTCTCATATGTCCTGTTAAAATTTCAGAATAATGCGGAATAAAGTGGAATACTTCATTATTTCATTGATATGAACGAGAGTATAAATAATCATTATAAGAATCCTATAATAGAAAAAATAATAAAAAGCAAATGATATGAAATGAAAGATATATCATCTAATATCTCCAATAATCAATTCATATTAATTATTAA